TATAATCCTAACCTATTTCGTAACCGTTTTACTAGATAATGATAAGATTAATGATAATAATGAGTGTTTAAAAGATAATGATCGTGTTTAAAAGATTTGATGATATCATTTCCATTATTACCCTTTTAATTTTAAATTTTTTTGAATCTTTTTAAATTTAAATTTAAATTTTAAAAATCTTTTAATTTTATTTTTTATCACAATATGAGGTTATTGGGTTGTTCTTGCATTCTCGTAAATCACAGGGGTTCTCGTTTGAACCCTTCCCTATATATATATATATATATATATATATATATATAAACTTATACCGAATATGACATGAAATCAAGTGTTATTCATTATTTTAAGTTGGGCAGATAAAATCAGATGCATACAAAATACTGAATTTTAATCAAACAGTTACAAGTGGTTTGAGAGAATCAGATTTAACCAAATAAGATATTTTAGGTATGAGTATGGCCGAAGGATATAGCAGCTCTTACTAATAAACCACATAAGATAAAAGGATTCGAGAAATTCGGACTATGATCACTTTCTAGGACGTAGACATCCGAAGGTGCCCATTTCGCGATCATCTTGTCTTGTTGCTCGGGTTTCATGACTTTATCATACATCGTCTTGATGTATACCCGTGGGACCTTATCCACACCCTCGTTTCCTTCCTTAAACCGAGCACTTTGTATTGCGTAAATAGGTCCGGGTCTTAGCAGCATTGCAGCTAACGTAAAATCCTAAAAAAAAGAAATTAATGTATTTCCATGACCAAAAATCGAATTTCATGAAGTTGCATACCTCTGGCGGACTCATATGATATACAAGTTTTCGTTGTAGCTCCTTTTTTATGATTGCACTCGTAGGAGGTTGATCTGGGCCTAATCCGAATTCCATATCATAAACACTGCCGAATTCTGATAAATCAGGGACACCCTGATAAATTTGTTACACAACAAATGGTATAAATATAAAACCGTTCAAAATGTTAAACGATCGAGGATTATATCAATTGTTAAACTTACATCTTTAATATCTTGCTCAGTTAAAAATCCGTTTTTTAGCATTGTGGCAGCAACGTAAACCGCAAGGCTAATCTTATTCGGGAACTTACTACTCGCATCCGTCACGCTCAATCCTCCGGCACTATGTCCAACCAAAACGACCTGCAGTCAGAGCTCGTATCGTTCATATACATTTTCTTTATAATTTGTGCATTGACGACGGTACCTTTTCGTGGTCGGGCAATGACGCCAAGAAGTCGATGAGCGGCTTGTTGTAGTCGTCAAAAGAGAGGGTTTCGTTGGGATCAGAGAGATCGATTCCGGCGGATTTGAGGTCGATGCAGGTGACGGCGTAGCCGGAGTTGTACAGAAGGCATTTGATCTTGTACCAGCACCAGCTTCCACCACTTATGCCATGGATGAACACAAAGTGCAGCTTCTTCTTCTTCTTCAACTGTGTCTCTGCGTCTTGTTCATTCAGCTTGTCAGCCATGGCATATGGAACAAAAAGGTGTTAGATTTTGTTATGAACAGTTGTGAGTATTTTTATGTTTAAATAATGTGTTTTTCATAACCTATTTTCTGGATCCTATATGAAGAAAGCTGTGGTCCATAATACACACGGATGGAGCACATGTCTGTAGACAACATGTTTGATTTAACACCGACTTTTTATATAATATAAATCGATCTTAAATGTCCATTTAATTTAATAAACACGTGCTTTTGTAATTAAATATCTGGGTTTTTTCGTAATTTAAAACCATGGATGGACGCAGGCTTGTGGTATAGGTGCCACGTGCCACCGTATTATTTCTCCGTTGAAAGGTAAAAAAATTAGGTTTCGTGAACGATGCAAACGTATTAATTTGTTGTTTGCCATCGTATGTATTTTGAAACTACAATGAGAAAAAAATTTATTTGGTAGAGTTGGTTTGCAAAGCTTTTATTCCACCCCACACCCGAGTTCGAATTTTGTTAGTGTCATCTTTTTAGTCAAATAGTGTCACGATTTGAAGAAAAAAAAACCGTATATATGTTTCGTATAGCCAAATGGTGCCACTGTTTGAATTTTCTTTTTTGGGTCCGTCCCTATATAAAACGTTGATCATAATTAATAAACTTTAATCATCTTTCATAAATATTAATAATATAATAAATATATACTCAATTTATTAGTTTGTATCAATGACATGGTTTGTATTTGAATCCTTATATATATATATATATAGAGAGAGAGAGAGAGAGAAGTGGTTCATACGAGTAACTAAATAAGAAAATGGCAAATTACGTACAAAATTGCAAGTGATTTACATCAATGGTCAAATCATTTGTGAAAACTCCAAAATTTGTTAGATCCGTGAAAACTTCAACGTTAAGTTTTTGTTTCACATTATCTTTTTTCATCTAATTATAGTATTTAATGTATCGATTAATATTAATTTATTTGTTATATGTAATCGGTTCAAAATGATTGATAATATATATATATATATATATATATTCAATTCACTATGAGAACTCCAATATATCTATACATATATATATATATATATATATATATGTGTGTGTGTTTCCTCTTAGGAATCCTAAATTCATTAGGAACCTGATAACCTCTCAAATTTGTTCCACATGTTCTTTTTCGGTACAAATATTCATCATGAATAACACATATACAATGAATATAAAAGTATTATTCAGTATGAATCACACGTCAATAATGAATATGTTACAACATTCATAAAAGGTCATAAAAATGCATCTAACAGGTTTTATAAAATCCAAAAAGTCATTTAACATGTTTTAAAATGTCAAATGACTTATTTATTCCAAATCTAACATTTTATGAAAGTCAGAAATCTAAAGTCACCAAAAGAATATATTATATAATTGAAGTCTAAAAATGGCAAGTAGGATGGTGTTGTAGACATGGATGGTGGGAGTTGGCAGAGGATTTGTTATGGGCAAAGGACAGTGGTCCAATGGCCACCACATATATATAATTGTGTCCGCCGTGCCTGGCCCTGGCCGGCCGACGTCTTCTGGTTGTATGGTTGTGTGTGGATTTTAGTGCACCGCCACCTTCAATTGTCTCCACCACCGTCGTTCCTGAGTGCGTCGTCAGAACAAACTGATGATTACAAATTCATTTCCGATTCCGACGAGAAATGGTGTTTAGGAATATGATCGAATACAACTCGAGTTACGACCAACAACGTAAGGCGAATGGTCGTATGAGAATAAGAATTAAAGTGAGAAGGCATCGGGACCCTTTATCATATCTAATCTTAAAGCCACTCATGAACTGCGATTAACACGGGGATGATCTCGTGCATCTCATACTAATGTGCATCCAATGGTGGAGATCTTTTTTTACGCTTTTCATTTTTAACTCTCATTCTTGCCGGAATCCAACCATAATTAAAATGTGAAAAGTCACAAATAAAGGGAGAGAGAACTAAGGAAGGGGTGGTGAAGTCGTTGCAGGCGCTTGAAGCATTACATATTGGTGTGTTTAAGTTTATTTTAAAGAAAAAATAATATAAAATAACTAAAATTCTTAATTTACAATATTAATTATATTATCTATACTATATTATAAAACATTTGACAAAAACTCTTAAAAACAATTTTTTATATACGAAGTATTATTTATTGATGTATATTACTTAAAATTTAAGATTACAAGTAAATTATGCATAAGTACAACTTATTAAAGCTCCATACTTGAATTCGTCTAACTAACTGCAGGTAAACATAATTAAATATTGGATAAATATCTCATTTTAAATATAAAAATATAAAATATAATTATGATAATCATAGATAACTAACATAATTTAATTAAGGAAATTACACCAAAACACAAAAACTTTTAAAAATATTAATTTAATACTTATATCGATATTTTTTTCAAAATTTTATGATATTTTTAAATTTATATTTTATTCAAAAATAAAAATATTACCACTTTCTCAAAACAACATAAAACCATTGTTTACTTAAAATTCAAGATTATAAGTAAATTATGCAAAAATACAACTTATCAAAGCTCTATTTTTGAATTCGTATAACTAATTGCGGATAAATATAATCAAATAGAGAATAAACATATTATTTTAAAATATAAAAAATCTAAAATATAATTATGATAATTATCGAGTTCTAACAAA